AAACGATAATTGCCTATCGGTAAGGAAATATATACGATAGACGATAGAGAATAACAAATCTATAATAACGCATCACTTTCAGAATGGAACGAAAAAGACTATCGAAACACTTTCATCTCATCTCTAAAGCCGGTATCCAGATCACATTCAGAATATTAGCAAATTACTCAACGATATTGACATCACATTTGATAATCTCAAAAATGTTGTTTCAGCACTTGAACAGCTATATGCTTCTCCTAATTTTACTTGGATACATTCTTCAATTGATGCATACTGTCTTATTTGTTATAACCGCGATTTTGATATTCTTAAGAATAAACAAGAAGAACAATATGATTCATCTTCAATCCCGTTCGATATTATTAGTTCATTCATTATAAACATGCACGATAGCCTATATAAACAAAAATTTCAATTCAGTAAATTTACAACACCATTATCGAAAAACACGCTTTTATTACAACATCTCTATACAATTATATCAAAAACTGAATTAAAACTAGATGATTGCCATACAATTTTCAATCAGTTATTCAAGCTTCAACTACGAATGATAATTATAAAAGACTACAAACTATACCACAATTATCGTTTGTTTATTATATTTTACCTTTTTATGACCTGAGAAACAACATTTTTCATGTTAAACAACAATCATCTACTATTAATCCGCTATCATCCACTTTCTTACTCTCAAGAGTAGCAACAGCAACGTCAATTTTCGATACATTATCTTCATGCCCGATCTCCAGTTCAGTTCTGAGTTCAGGTACGTTTACGTTACCAAGAACTCCACTGTCACTACCTACAATATTAAATACCGATTACACACAACAACTACCTCATTCGTTACCTTCTTCACCTCACTCTTCAACAATAAGTCATTTGTATATTCAAGAAAATGTTAATCCATCAACCGACAGTATTAACCTTTGCGAATCATTATCAAATGATAATTCACAACACCAGAGACCTTTAACGAAGGATGGTAATGATCCAATTGAATTAGATCGTATGGATTTTCTATTATCAACTAATCAACAACAAAGCTCAACAACGCATTCACCTTTACAAAAAACTACATCAATGACATCAGTTCCACTTCCTCCAGTTTTAACAAATACTTTATCTCCTGTTCATGTGCCATTTTTAATTTTTGATCCAACGTCGTCATGTAATTCAGCAACAGTTACAACATCAACTTATACAACATCAATTTCTCATTTACATGAAATTCGTTCTCAACGTCTAATGAGTAACAAAGACTACGATTTACAAATCGGCGTTGCCCATGTTCATACTGTAACACATTAAATTATAGTAATGATCGTCAATTTATCGATACAGGATGTAATACTAACTCAATTGATACATCAGAAACTGTAGATTTTAAAGTGTTAAATCTAAAACACAAATATGATTACATCGACAAAGAACGTCCGTGGTTTCAAATGTCAACGATAAATATTGATCAAGATCCATTAGCAACCACACCAAGAATGATTCGCTCAATTCAACAAACCCATTTATCTTCATCCTGTTTATCAACAATATCATCTAGAAAAAATAATTTACCACCAGATGTTGTTTTTAGAAATGAACTCGATCGTCTAAAACGTTACGAAAATCACTTAGCAATACTTAATTCACATAGCAATACTTAATTCACATAGCAGTACTTAATTCACATAAGGAACGACGATCATATCCACAAACACTGTCATACATGCCAAAACCATCGCTTGAAGCTGATGATGAAAACTTTATTACTGAATGGAATTCAATACTGAACAATTGTCGACAGCAGTTAATTGCATTGACCATGAAATTCATCAACGATCAGATTTTAGTTTCGAAAGCCAAAATTGAATCTATATCTTCTGCAATCCCGCACTTGAAGAGACTTGAATTGGCGGCCGAAATAGACAAAAAATTAGAACCGTTTATTGAAAGCTAATGGTTTAAATTAATTCGTCATACAATCAATCCAAAAAAAACAGGAAAAAAGTCATTACCATCATCGTCAAACAAAAACAAGCTTTCATCACCTGATTCATCATTTTCCATCGATAACAACTACTATTACAACAACAAAACATCTAAATAACAATAATAATTTTAATCAAAAAAACCTCGTCAGTCTAGAAAAATACAGTTTAATCAAAATGCCCAGCAAGTTAGTCGGTCAACGTCAACCTCTTTGAATCGACAACAACAGTCTTCTGATAAAAATCAACAACAACAGCAAACTAAATTAACATCAGTTAATCGACGACAACAATCATCAGTAACAACAAATTCATTTCCATCTCGTCAAGGTCAATTATCATATAATAGAAGAAACAATAATCACTATTATAATAGGGATTATTCATATAATTATCCCAGCTATTCTTATGATCGATATCGATAGCGTATTATCCGTCTTACTATAATGATGAATACGATAACATCAACTCTTATTACTATTATCGTTCTTTTTATTATCCTCGTTACCGTCGTCTACAACGACAATATAGAAACAATCGTTCAGTTATTAATAATTGATTTAATTTAAATTGTACTGATTATCCGTATCATGATTACGGTAATAATAATAGTAGCAATACTGAACATCAACAACGTAACTTTCTGTCCTCGAACTCATTAGATTCTCATTAGAACTGTGCTAAATGTTATATTGGTGAAACTAATAGACACAAAGAAATTAGAATGAAAGAACATCAAACAGACATTAAGAAACATTCACAATGTTCTAATGTAGCAAAACACGCCAATGAAGATAAACATTCATTTAATTTTAAACAAGTAGACACACTAGCTTTAGAAACAAACTGGAGACGAAGAATCATCAGAGAAAGTCTCTTTACATATGAAATGCAAAATAAAGCTTTAAACGATGTAAAATTTAAATTAAATATATTCTTATAATTTATGACTTTTTCTTCTCTCGTTTCTTCTGATTATCATTGTAATATTTAAATAGATTGTAACCTCACTTTTCTATATTCCTGATGATGATAAGAGATTCTTATCGAAAGCTCGAATAAAATTATGATTTTTGCTTAAATCTAGAAATAATTTTGACGGTAAAAGAAGAGGACGCAATATTAAAACAGTATAAAATAAAATAAAATAAAATGATAAAATCCGACTAACCCTTTATATATGACGTGATACGGAAAGGGAAAACATAGAATGTGTCTTT